GTATTGTACATGTATTGTAGAAATTAAGAATTTACTTCAACAGAATTCCTGATTATAAAAGGCTATAATAGTAAAGAGTAGAAGGGTGTGGGATAAACGCACGTGGCATCATAGAAAAGCTCCATAGTAAGGTTTTCCCGATTTTAGTTCTAATTAGGCAGAAGGTATGGATTAAAATTGAGATTGATTCCTGCCCCGAATTCAGATAGAATCAAGCGAAGGTAAACCGTATCGGATCAATTACTTTATAAAAGCTATGATAGTGTTAAGTTCTGTTTGAAAAACTTGGGTTCGACTTTTGTCCCGATTTAAGGTAAGATCATGCACATTGGATTTGTCGATTTGCGAAAATGTACGTTTTTCTTAAACTGTAAACGGATCTGGTTTCCAGTTGAATGTGAGTTCCGTATAAGGCCAATTCCTATACAAAATATATGGTAGTGTTATCTTCTGTCTGAAATGTTGTTGGTTCGATTCCTGTCCCGAATTTGTCGGTTTGCGAACATATATGTTTTTCTTAAACGGAACTTGGATCTGGTTCCCTGTTCCGTTTAAGCTAAAACGACACTAGGGTCTGATTCTCAGTTCCGTTTAAGCTGAAAATGAGCAGGTATCTGGTTTACAGATCCGTTTTTCTTAAATGGAACTAGGAACTAGGCACCAACGTCATGCGACCAATCACATATTCAAGAATTAAAAATTGCTGCCTCCGTTTGATTTTGTCCTCCACATTTTGACCAGTGTAAATGAAACGGAAACTTTTCTGGAGTATGTCATAAAATGTATCATAAATTTGTTTTCGTTTTGTATGAAATTGTATTACACTCGTCTAGAATGTTTGCTCGCCAATTCCAACTTTATAAACTCGTTTCATAAATTCTCATATGAAATGAAAACCTTGTTTAATTTCCTGTTTGTATACAAATTAACAGAAAAGATGGAAAACAATTGTAAAAGTTTCTAATATGACAACATAATCAAAATGCAAATTTAATAAAACCTGGGCAAACTGTAACCAATGTGATTCAAAGCCAATATGATATACCCACAAATATCAAATAAGTCATTAAAATACCTTGGGAAAATGCAAATTAAATGTCTAGTATTACTTGATTGGTGGTTTGATGGAACTCTGTCAGTTCAAAAACACCCAGCTTTGAGAAACAAGTATACTTTCAACCTTCTTCGATTAATACACTTTGTACTTCAATGATTTCATAGACTCCGCAAACATCATATTGTTATTACTACAAAGTGATACTTTTATATTATGTATAAGGCTTAACGTATCTTATTACAGACAAAGGGAGCCAACTCTGTTTTGTAGTAATGTCACAGTACGTTCGTGTCAGTGTGAAAACGTAGAACAAGAGCTGATTGATAAATTCTGATCCTCATATTTAAGCGTTTAACTTTTGGCGGATATATTGCATCATTTTCAACACGATCCCTTTCAGCATTTATACTATACACAGCGATGTTTAAGGGCCTCAATTCCACGTTTAAATAAGCCGTTTTCTTCCGTTCAGAAAGTCCTCTGCTGGATGTATGACGTATGACCGAATGTGGATGCCAGAAATGGACTTTTTCAATTTTGAAAATAGATGAAAGTCTGATGGTACAAGGCCACAATCGAAAACGACAGCCATATCAATGATAGACTTGTACAGGGGCATTGTCTTGGTGGAACAACACACCTTTACTGGGTTTTCCGCGGCGCTTGAGCTTAATATTTTCTCATAACTGCCTAAGATGTGATGCATAATTGTTTGTCCATTTTGCAGATAATCTACCATCAAAATAACATCAGCATCCCAGAAAACAGAGACTATAGCTTTTCCAGCTGATGGGACAGTCTTTGCCTTCCTCGGCGAAGGTGAACCAGGATGCTTCCATTGTTTAGTCTGTTGTTTGGCCTCTGGAATGAAATGATGGATCGCCTGGTACCCGACAAGTTGAGGGCTGTCTCATTGCCAGATCTTCCGTAAGAATGAAATGTATTCTTTCCTTTGAAATCCAAACTGTACTGGCTATATATTTCTCTGTAACTCGCCTGTCAGCCATATGGACTTTAATGACCATTTCTGGGGTTGTAACAATGACAGGATTAGGGTGCTAGACCTTTCATATGCAAATATTGAATCGCTGCTCTTCCAGCGATTTTGTCCATTTTCCAAAAGTCACTTGCCTTGTTTACTTTCGAGTGCAACCTCCTCACATATACTGACCAAATAAAACCAGTCGGGGAAAAGTAGAGCTGAAAAAGGACATACCTGCTGAACGTCTCAACGCTCACAACTTATCAATCAGTCCTCGTATGTAAATAAATAGCTTCTCTATACCAATCCTCGTGTTACCTAGCTCCCTGTCTTCACTGGCATTGTTGGACGTAGACTGACACACTTTGCAATCATCTGTAAACATAGATGAACACTCTCTTGACTGACTTATTTCAGCTGTCTCCGTAATGCGAGACAATATTTGTCGACGAGATTATGAAAACAAGTCAAAAATACTCTGACAAGTCCATTAATTTCACATTAAGTAATTGTGTCTTGTATTTAAAAAAAAAACCGTGAAATTTCTTAACCGTTTATCTCAATTTTCCTACACAGAAGCTAACAGGGATAGCTTTTCGACAAAACTTATTGATAACTGTACTGTTTTTACCCTGTTTTGTGTTTTCTGTTTCTAGTCGGTATCATCCGTCTTCCACACACAAACGGTATTGACATGTCGCTGTTGTTTCGACAATGTCACGATCTCCGACGGAAACAGATGTCAACAATGGACAATTGACAGCATTGTAGTCGCCATTATACTATCGTTGAGTAATATTCCCTAACTATTTCTTTTAAGATATGCGTTTCGTATTTGGGATGTCACAAGATAACATAACTGTATGGTCCAGGGGAGATAATCTTATTCAAAATGCATAGGAGTTATTTCCCTTCATTGTAACTCTTTTAATATTGAGATATATTTTGGAGGATTCTGATAAATCAACTGGAATGATACAGCTGTGTTTGTGTTTTTCTCCTTATGGTGTGAAAGCGAGTTCCCCTTATCATGTCAATCACAGCATGATGGAGAATCCGAATCGTTTGTCGTCAGATTGAACAAAATGTAGCCCGCCGATCAGCAAGTTAGTCCTGTCAAGATGTACTTTTTAGCGGGAATTTGATGGTACATTTTTTGTGATTTATTAAAGTAACTATAATTTTTTACGTTTCTAATATTTTGTTGTTGATGTTCGTATCAAAGAAATTATTTCATTTTGATTGTGGTCTTAAATCTATTGTATTTGATTTTCTGAATTATCTTGCATAATATGAAAAATGACGTCACCAACATTCGTTGTGGATCTCTTTATTAAAGGTTGATTTGTATGAAAAAATAACAAGGAGTTTTGGACCAACATTGATGAAGCTGCCTTCCTCTTAAACTACTTATCGCGAGATTTTTCTTCTTTTATGTGAAAGCAAGTTTCCCCTTACCACTCAATCACAACAATTTGATGTTCATTGATATGACTGGATATTCCGTTGCAGAAGACTTCGCGCTTCAGAAATCCTGGTTTATTCTCGAGTACATCCTTTTCTTCATATTTTGCAGACGTTTCACCAATTTGTAGTTAAGATGATGTTGACATGTCGATATTTTCTTGCTATTTTCTAAATCACTGAGGCGTTTCTATCTTCTTTAATGTTTGTTCTTAAAATGGGAGGAAAGGCTCGAACTGAAAGAGACGCCTCTTGTTCTCTCGCAAGCGCATTACAATTGACAAATTTCCACCTCTTTCAAACATCCTTCTATATATAGTTTTATTTTCGAGTCATGAAAATAAAAATATTAAGTACTAACACTATATTGCACCCGATATTTAAAGCTGTTTTCTCTACTTGTGGTAAAACACAACCATCACATTTCCAGACACGTATATATACGTCTCTGACATTTCCAATTAAGAAATGAAGTAAATCGTTCAGTTTTAAGTTCAAACTTTGTCCTATAATGATTACAATCAAAACTGTCGATTCCCAAGTGATTTCGTACCACAATTGGATTTTACTAAAACTGGTTGAAGCTCTTTTATATCATATACAACTAACCATTTCACGTGACGGAAGTGAGAAAATGGCGACCACCGTTAAAGTTGTAATGAAGAGACTTGTGACAGTGACACTAAGGGAAGTAACTCTGGAGATCTGAAGGTTTTACTGTTATAAAGAAAAGAAATTAGATAAAGGAAGAATACAGATAAGCGGAGAGGATAGACACAAGTAGTTCATGTCCATAGGTGTAATATTAAACTTCAAGTCGTTTATTTCGGTTAATGCAAGTCTAGCCAGGACGAAATAGTGTCGGTGAAAAGTCCACGTTATCTAACATATAACGGAAGATTTATTACACTTTGGCATTCGTTTACACATACACAAACTTGATCATTGGTAGATGATGTTGTCTCTTTAATCCCCGTCTACTGGAATTGTCCAAGACCACCATTTCTGTTAGTTAATTTGTTTCGTACACCAAAAGTTGACGTTTGGTGTATGTTTTGATGTAACGAGCTTCAGTCACGATGTAAACCACTCCATCCTTAAAAGGCTTTACAACGTATAGTAATTATCATAAAACCATTCGGTACCATGGTCCTTTTCAGTGAATGACGTCATTTCCTAGATATTTCTGTTTTTAGCCCATTTCCGTAAAAGCTTGTTTTTCATGTCTTTGGTTCAAACTGTGAAAATGGGTTCATGGAATATAGTGATGACGTAATTCGTTCCATTCCGAAGTAGCGAAGGAAAGTATTGCGGTCATCCTAAATGTCATCAGAATATTAATAGACTGGATTACCTGCCTTACATACTACTTTTCTCCGCTAGACTGCGCTCGCTCGTTGTATTTTCGAAGCGAAGTCTAGCGGAGTGTAGCTAAACTACGGCAGACAATCCAGTTTAAATCCAAAACGGCGTCAGTTGACCGCTTTTTTTCTAGCTGCAAGCTCCTCGGAGTATTTGTCATCATAAGTCCGTGAGTTGATGACGTCATCGCTTTTTGTTAGGGGCTAGCTCCTCATAGTATCTATCGTCATCAGTCTGTGTTGCCATCTCGTGTACCAACATGTTGACGTTTGGAGTGTATGTTTTGACGTAACGAGTTTCAGTCACAGTGTAGACTACTCCATCCTTAAAAGTCTTCACTACGTACAGTAGTCCACAAACCACCAATAGGAATCCTGCAACGCATACGATTTAGGTCATATATACAATAATTTAGATATTTTTATCGATTGAAACGATAACTTATACGACACAGTAATTAATAGGTATACTTTATAATTAATTCTAAAAATATAGATTATTTGGTGAAAGTGAACTGTATCAAACTAAAAAATATACATTTCTTGTACAACTTGTATTAACCATCCGCTATTATCAAACTACAAGCTTACCATTAATAATTCCGAGGATGTTCAAACTATACACTTATATCCAATAATTCCGCGACATCTCGCAATATAGCAACTACCAACTTACCACCTAGAATTCCGAGAACATCCCGAAATTAAAAAGCTACAAACTTACCACTAATAATTCCGAGTATATTCCGCATGCCCTCCATGAACACTGGAACAGCCAGGATAAGATAGACAACGCCTTTCTTCCAGTTATCAATCCACATGATGACTGACCAACAGTGACAACAACAACCTTCTCGTCTGTGAGGGACAAATATAAATTTTCTAGAATTGTATTTCACATGTTATTCTTATATTTTTGCTTAAACTGTTGTTCCCTCAGCAGTTAAATAAATAATTTGTGTACATATGTTAGTCCCAGCTTTATGTTAAACTTTTATACTTCATCAACAGTAAACGTACATCACGTCACCAGAAACATCTCCCTTTGTGAAACGTCCGTGAAAGAAAAACTTCATTGCTGAGAACGGTATTGTAACAAGTGTCGGTTTACTTACTTGCAACATGCAGATTTGTTAATGATCCACGTCAGTTCAAGCAAGGTAATTACGATACTGGCAGCTCTGAAGAATATGTGATCAGAATTTTAAAATGATTGTGAATAAATTACACTATTCAAAATTAACTTGACTGAATTTCACAGATTTCCTGAAAAAGAACTCTCATTATCTTCTTTATTTTTTCTTAAACACCAAAAACGTACACGACTTCAACATATACATGACAGGTGTCCCTTGTAAAATTCGTATCCATGTATGTATATACTTTGCAATCCAGATGTTAATGTTAGGAAAAAGACATTTGGCCACTAGGACCTTGAATTTCTAGCTTTATGTTCTTGTTTGTCGTGGTGGTGTAATGGTTAGACAGCTGTAGAAATAGATCGCGAATTCGAGACCCTGTTAGACCACAAGCCATAAGTTAGCAACCGTCAATTTCAATATGAATGATTTAATAAAAACCTATTTTCCTTTTGTGCCATATGACACCAAGCGATACTCAACTTACCACGATAACCAGGATAAAATGTGTTGGCTCGTACTATAACAAAAACCAAAAAACAAAAGAAAAGTTTGCCTTGCCACCTTAAGCATCGTTTGCACGTGTATTACAGCTTAATCAAACATTCACATTGTATCTCAAAATGTCATGTGGATAATTTGAGAAACGCTGAAAAATGGCAAACTTCTGGCGTTGTAATGTCAGCCATTATGTTATTTCTCTGTTTATACAGTACCTGAACCGCGCATGTTGACAACGATACCAGGTATGGCAGACCTCGAAAGACAAGACTACAGAGAGGGAAGACTGACTTCTGTGTAGACAGGCAAGGCAAGGCCCCATCAACTGACTCGGAGTGTAGCGAAACGTCAAGGTTCCCTGTTATCCGACGTACCGTCAACAGAGGTTTAAACAATACTTCTGTGTAGACGGGCAAGGCAAGCATGTGATCACCGGACATGAATATTATAGGACTTGGCTAATAATCCATTGGTCTGGTGAAGGCCACGTTTTTACTCCGACAGACGACACGGTTCGTCTTTTTAGACCAAACGTATCACCAGAATCACATTAGCGGCACAACAACAGCGTCTGGCAGTTTGGAGATGCTGTCATGACCTTGACAGAAGTTTAAATGGGCATAATTACGGTGATAAGATCCTACGGCCTTCAGTCGTCTCGTATTTTGATGCCCGTGCATTGGCAGATCAGCCTATCGTAACGGATGACTATGTTTAACCACACAACCCGACTCCTGCAAGATTACCTTCACCAAGAGATGCTCAAATGGCGTGCAATGTCACCAGACATGAACCAGATTGAGCATGTGTGGGGAAATCTCGGACAAAAAGTCAATACACGACATCCAAAAGTTCAGAGTTTCAGGAATGACAGAGGTTTCCTCAGAACAAGCTTCGGTGCCTGGTCAATGGTATGAGACGACGAGTACAAGAACTGTACCAAAAGCGTGGTAACTACACCCGAAATGACATTCCATGCCCATTAGAACTCCTTGAGAAGTTTATTTCCTTGATCAGTTAACATATTTTGATGACTTGATGACGTATTCTCTTTTGAATGTCCTTTTTAAATTGATACACTTCCGGTTCTGTAATTTTTTCATAACGACTTTGTATAGTTTCGTAAGATGCCTAAAAACATTCCTATATATTCTGTTGAGTTGCCATCGCATAGTTTTCTTAGATATATGGTACAAAATATGGCCAGTCTGATATATGGTTTGTCCTTAAGATATGGACAAGCGTATATTGAGAAATATTATTTTTCTATGTGCAATATGAAGCCTGGACGTGTTTAATGCTCGTTAGTTTGCCTGTTGGTTCCGTTGTTGTATTCCATGTTCCCTTTTTGAGAACGTGATATTACTTACTTGGATTGACCAAGATAAGTAAAGTGCGAGTCGTCGATGAATCAGAAGACGCTTACTCCTCATTAACACCTGGTCTTATTCTCTTTGCACTTTTTCAGGAGTCTTCGTATAAATCTTTCTTTTTAGGTTTTACCCTAGCTTTATTGAATTTGAGTTTGGATTATGATTATGTTGACATGTTGGTATTTTGTTGTTTCTGTCCTAGCTTTATTGAATTTGAGTTTGGATTATGATAATGTTGACGTGTTGGTGTTTTGTTGTTGTTTCATTATCTTCATTATCACACAAAGTATTGATGAAATGTAGAAATAATTATATTATCATTATCAGATCGTTGTGTCGACCTCTTACAATGTTAGTAACTGTTTGATTACTGTAAACACTTACATGAGGTACCAGCCGAGGTACAACTTCGGATCTACGTCTGGTGGATTTTGTATAGAGTACACACCGGCTCCCCACATTACTACAATGCAATCAAAACTCAAACAGATTTCAGGTGGCATTCACACGCAATATGAATATCAACTGAATAAGGGGAAATTTGATAAGGGGCATAAGCGCTTCATGTTGAATTTACCATTTTCCATATGACATTCATAATGCTCAAAAATACCAACATAAAAAAGCAGTTCAAATATTATAGTTATTATTTTCAATTTTCATCGTTTCAAAAGGGAGAGAAACCTTTCACTGCATACTTGGAACATGCTTTCAACATTGAAAGGTTATAAGCTGGTAATCACATCTGACTTAGACACGTGAAAGGTAACAACATTAGCAATATCATAAAACTGTATGTTTCTAAGTAACCCATTGTCTTGTAATGGCATTTATGATCATTATAAAAGACAAAGACAATGCAATAAATGTTTGTATGAAAAAACATTTGTCACCACCATAAAAACCATAACAAGACAATTCTAAGCTTCTATATACATTTGTGTATTTCCTTCACATGATGCTGTAACTGAATATTCCCTTTTCATTCGTGGGGATGGAGGGTAAGGGTTGAAGGGTTAGGGGTTGGGGTAGGGGTGAGGGTTAGGGGTTGGGGTAGGGGTGAGGGTTAGGGGTTGGGGTAGGGGTGAGGGTTAGGGGTTGGGGTAGGGGTGAGGGTTGAAGGGTTAGGGGTTGGGGTAGGGGTGAGGGTTAGGGGATGGGGTAGGGGTGAGGGTTAGGGGATGGGGTAGGGGTGAGTGGTAGGTGATGGGGTTGGTGAGTAGGGGTGAGGGTTAGGGGTTGGGGTAGGGTGAGGGTTGAAGGGTTAGGGGATGGGGTAGGGGTGAGGGTTAGGGGATGGGGTGAGGGTTGAAGGGTTAGGGGATGGGGGTAGGGGTGAGGGTTAGGGGTTGGGGTAGGAGTGAGGGTTAGGGGTTGGGGTAGGGGTGAGGGTTGAAGGGTTAGGGGTTGGGGTAGGGGTGAGGGTTAGGGGATGGGGTAGGGGTGAGGGTTAGGGGTTGGGGTAGGGGTGAGGATTAGGGGTTGGGGTAGGGGTGAGGGTTAGGGGTTGGGGTAGGGTGAGGGTTAAAGGGTTAGGGGATGGGGTAGGGGTGAGGGTTAGGGTTTGGGGTAGGGGTGAGGGTTGAAGGGTTAGGGGATGGGGTAGGGGTGAGGGTTAGGTGTTGGGGTAGGGGTTAGGGTTGAAGGGTTAGGGGATGGGGTAGGGGTGAGGGTTAGGGGTTGGGGTAGGGGTGAGGGTTGAAGGGTTAGGGGTTGGGGTAGGGGTTGAAGGGTTAGGGGTTGGGGTAGGGGTGAGGGTTAGGGGTTGGGGTAGGGGTGAGGGTTGAAGGGTTAGGGGATGGGGTAGGGGTGAGGGTTAGGGGTTGGGGTAGGGGTGAGGGTTGAAGGGTTAGGGGTTGGGGTAGGGGTGAGAGTTGAAGGGTAAGGGGTTGGGGTAGAGGTGAGGGTTGGAGGGTTAGGGGCGGGGTAGGGGTGAGGGTTGAAGGGTTAGGGGTTGGGGTAGGTGTGAGGGTTGGAGGGTTAGGGGATGGGGTAGGATTGGGGTTGGAGGGTTAGGGGATGGGGTAGGGGTGAGGGTTGAAGGGTTAGGGGTTGGGGTAGGGGTGGGGGTTGGAGGGTTAGGGGATGGGGTAGGGGTGAGGGTTGGAGGGTTAGGGGATTGTGAAGGCGTGACACTTGGAGGGTTAGGGGATGGGGTAGGGGTGAGGGTTGGAGGGTTAGGGGCGGGGTAGGGTGACTGTTGAAGGGTTAAGGGTGGGGTAGGGTGAGGGTTGAAGGGTTAGGGGATGGGGTAGGGTGAGGGTTGAATGGTTAGGGGTTGGGGTAGGGGTGAGGGTTGAAGGGTTAGGGGAGGGGGTAGGGTGAGGGTTGAAGGGTTAGGGGTTGGGGTAGGGGTGAGGGTTGAAGGGTTAGGGGTTGGGGTAGGGGTGAGGGTTGGAGGGTTAGGGGGCGGGGTAGGCGTGAATGTTGGAGGGTTAGGGGCGGGGTAGGGGTGAGGGTTGGAAGGTTAGGGGGTTGGGTAGGGGTGGGGTTGGAGGGTTAGGGTGGGGTAGGGTGGGGGTTGGAGGGTTAGGGGGTGGAGGTGGGGATGGGAGGGTTAAGGGGTAGGGTTGAGGGTTGAAGGGTTAGGGGTGGGGTAGGGGTGGGGTTGGAGGGTTAGGGGGCGTGGTAGGGGTGAGGGTTGGAAGGTTAGGGGGTGGGGTAGGGGTGGGGTTGGAGGGTTAGGGGTGGGGTAGGGTCGGGGTTGGAGGGTTAGGGGGTGGGGTAAGGGTGAGGGTTGGAGGGTTAGGGGGTGGAGGTGGGGATGGGAGGGTTAAGGGGTGGGATGGGGTTTGGGGTTGGAGGGTTAGGGGATTAGTAGTTGATGTCTGTAACTTGCAAGGCCTAGAGGTGAAATATCAATTTATATTATATTTCTCGTATTTTGAAAACCAGATGTGTGTAAAAAATACATTATGTATAATATCGATACTTACCAGCCAATGTCAGGATGGCCCATAGCCGGGAAATAACAGTGATTTTTGACAGGAAGGTAGAAGTTTTAGTTGGACTCGCCTCTGTACTGACGATTCTGTCCTTTTCCATAGCAACATACAATGTCCAGGTCACTTAGCCGAACAAACTCAATGTTACACACCAAGGATAAATCACCTTCAACGACAGAGGAAACAAATTGTTCACCTCAGCAAAACACTTAAAAATATACATACCTGTATTATGAATGTATACATACCTGTATTACAAATGTATACAATCCAGTACATTATATCTATATATATACCTGTACAGTATATCTATATATACCTGTACTATATATCTATATATATTTTTACTGTATATATATTTATACCTGTACATTATATCTATATATACCTGTACATTATATCTATATATACCTGTACATTATATCTATATATACCTGTACATTATATCTATATATACCTGTACATTATATCTATTTATACCTGTATAGTATATCTATTTATACCTGTACAGTATACCTATATATACCTGTATATTATATCTATATATACCTGTACAGTATATATATATATATACCTATACCTGTATAGTATATCTATATATACCTGTACAGTATATCTATATATACCAGTACATTATATCTATATATACCTGTACATTATGTCTATATATACCAGTACATTATATCTATTTATACCTGTACATTGTATATACTATTTATACCTGTACATTGTATCTATATATACCTGTACATTATATATACTATATATACCTGTACAGTATATCTATATATACCTGTACATTGTATCTATATATACCTGTACATTGTATCTATATATACCTGTACATTGTATCTATTTATACCTGTACATTATATCTATATATACCTGTACATTATATCTATATATACCTGTACAGTATATCTATATATACCTGTACATTATATCTATATATACCTGTACAGTATATCTATATATACCAGTACATTATATCTATATATACCTGTACATTATATCTATATATACCTGTACATTATATCTATATATACCAGTACATTATATCTATATATACCTGTACATTATATCTATATATACCTGTACAGTATATCTATATATACCTGTACATTGTATCTATTTATACCTGTACATTGTATCTATATATACCTGTACATTATATCTATATATACCTGTACATTATATCTATATATACCTGTACATTATATCTATATATACCTGTACAGTATATCTATATACCTGTACATTATATCTATATATACCTGTTCAGTATATCTATATATACCTGTACATTATATATATATATACACCTGTACAATATATCTATATATACCTGTATAGTTTTCTATTTATACCTGTATAGTATATCTATATATACCTGTACATTATATCTATATATACCTGTATATTATATCTATATATACATGTACATTATATCTATATATACCTGTACATTATATCTATATATACCTGTACATTATATCTATATATACCAGTACATTATATCTATATATACCTGTATATTATATCTATATATACATGTACAGTATATCTATATATACATACATTATATCTATATATACCTGTACATTATATCTATATATACCTGTACATTATATCTATATATACCTGTACTGATTATATATATATACCTGTACAATATATCTATATATACATGTACAGTATATCTATATATACCAGTACATTATATCTATATATACCAGTACATTATATATATATATACCTGTACAATATATATATATTTATACCTGTACAGTATATCTATATATACCTGTACAGTATATCTATATATACCAATACATTATATATATATATATATATATACCTGTACAATATATATATTTATACCTGTACAGTATATCTATATATACCTGTACAGTATATCTATATATACATGTACATTATATATATATATACCTGTACAATATATATATTTATACCTGTACAGTATATCTATATATACCAGTACATTATATATATATATACCTGTACAATATATATATTTATACCTGTACAGTATATCTATATATACCTGTACATTATATATATATATACACCTGTACAATATATCTATATATACCTGTATAGTTTTCTATTTATACCTGTATAGTATATCTATATATACCTGTACATTATATATATATATACCTGTACAATATATCTATATATACCTGTATAGCATATCTTTTTATACCTGTATAGTATATCGATATATACCTGTACATTATATATATATATACCTGTACAATATATCTATATATACCTGTATAGTATATCTATTTATACCTGTACAGTATATCTATATATACCTGTATAGTATATCTATATATACCTGTACAATATACCTATATATACCTGTACAGTATATATATTTATACCTGTACATTGTATCTATATATACCTGTACATGATATCTATATATGCCTGTACTGTATATCTATATATACTTGTAATATATATCTATATATACCTGTACATTATATCTATATATGCCTGTACTGTATATCTATATATACTTGTAATATATATCTATATATACCTGTACATTATATCTATATATGCCTGTACTGTATATCTATATATACTTGCACTGTATATCTATATATACCTGTACATTATATCTATATATATACCTGTACATTATATCTATATATACCTGTACATTATATCTATATATACCTGTACATTATACCTATATATACCTGTACTGTATATCTATATATACCTGTACATTATATCTATATATACCTGTACATTATATATACTATATATACCAGTACATTATATCTATATATATACCTGTAATATATATTAATATATATGTGTAATATATATTCAGATACCTAAACTTTATACCTAATTTATTCTTGTACTATTTATATACATACCTGTTGTACATATCTGGACATACCTGTGTTACATAAAACATCTCTTTATAACTATCTAAGTCTTTAGATCTTCTGTCTTATCCTAAGTATACGAAGGACACGAAGAATGTCACATGATTTACCCTGACACGTGCCTGTACTTCCCGTCAATATTCCTTACTCAGTAAAATCTACTATTCCTTCGGCACATAAATTTTCCTTTCAAGTCTATAGAAGAAAATATGTGTATGCCCACGTATTCTTCAACTCTAGAGTAAATAAGTTACGGAACAATGACCACACTTTCAATATACAAATTGAAATGTGTATAGCGGATAGATTTAACACCGGGTATATATACAGACACAAAGCGGGTAAACAACTTGAAATAAACATCAGTAATCTGTTTGTATTTTGTAATAGTATTGTTTTTATGTAAACAGTCCTAAATTAGCTACAATTAATTTGGATCAGTCTCTGATGAATGCTTTATGAGATAGATGTAACTGTTGACAAGTTTCTATGTTATGATTTTAGGGACAATTATCTGTAGAAATATACCTGTACAATTGACATGAAGACTATATAATTAGACGACTGTATTCAAACTTTGCCTTCTTACAAATACCAGTGTCTGTCATAGCATATGAGCTTTTAGTATTTTCAACTGCAGCAGAATGTTTTGGACATCGGAAGACAGTCATGTAACATATGTACAATGTTTATATATAATCTGATTTATGAATAATATGTAAAACACATTGCACTTACCCTCTGATTTAATGTTGTTCTTTAAAAATCATCCGAAATAAAATTTCATGACCGGAAATCCAAAATCGACAAATGTCATCCCTGTTTAGAAGTCGTTGGAATTCAATGTTTGATTAAAGTTACATCATAAAATCCATGTATGTTTCCATAAATGCAATGCAATCCCTTAGAAAGGGGCGTTCACATCAGTATATTGAGTGAAACAAAAATCCTAAAGAGCCATATGTTGCGACGATCACTACACCAGCTGGTAGACTTTTGAATATGGATTTATCATTTTGCTCCCTAGTTCGGCATACATACAGCACACAATTATGCTATTGACGAATGTACAGTCGAGTGTGACGGTAAATGTAGTTTGTACACAGTAAAACAGACATAACATTATATATATACAACGTGGTATTTACCTCACTATAATACTGTGATCAGCACCTCACTATAATACTGTGATCAGCACCTCACTATAATACTGTGATCAGCACCTCACTATAATACTGTGATCAGCACCTCACTATAATACTGTGATCAGCACCTCACTATAATACTGTGATCAGCACCTCACTATAATACTGTGATCAGCACCTCACTATAATACTGTGATCAGCACCTCACTATAATACTGTGATCAGCACCTCACTATAATACTGTGATCAGCACCTCACTATAATACTGTGATCAGCACCTCACTATAATACTGTGATCAGCACCTCACTATAATACTGTGATCAGCACCTCACTATAATACTGTGATCAGCACCTCACTATAATACTGTGATCAGCAGAGTCAAATTAATGTTAGCTGGCTCATTATTTATTTGAAATATCAGAAGGTGAAACTGTATTAGCATCAGCATTTCATACAAACTGGAATGTACTCATAATCCATCTCCACTAAAACCAAGTTGTCCTGACAATGACCAACGAACAACCCATCAAACCCGACAACATTTTGGCTAACTCAACATTAACATGTATTCAACCAACACGTATTTCAAACAACAAAAACCTTCCATTTATTCTGTAATTCTAAATTTCCACCCTCCATCCCACAAATCTTACCTTCTTACATAAATCTACCCTCTACCTTCCATCCTGCAAATCTTCCCTTCCTCCTTCCATCCTACAAATTTTCCCTTCCTCCTTCACTCCCACAAATCTACCCTTCCTCCTTCCATCCTGCGAATCTTCCTTTCCTCCTTCCATCCTACAAATCTACCCTACCTCCTTCCATCGTGCAAATCTTACTTTCCTCCTTCCATCCCACAAATTTATCCTTCCTCCTTCACTCCCACAAATCAACCCTACCACCTTCCATCCCACAAATTTATCCTTCCTCCTTCACTCCCACAAATCTTCCCTTCCTCCTTCCATCCTACAAATCTTCCCTTCCTCCTTCACTCCCACAAATCAACCCTTCCACCTTCCA